CACTACCAACTTAATAAAAAATTAAACAATATTCAACAAAAAAAATTAATTAAAAATTTTGTCGAAAATCAAAAATATGATTTTGGCTTAAAAATTCGGATTAATTATTTCTATTTCATTTTTATAGTAAAAATTAGTTGTATTTACATTAAAAAGTAGCTACAAAAAGTGTCACATCAATTTGACAAAAATTTAAAAAAATTGCATTTTTTTTTATTTTTTGAATTTTGTGAAAAAAGCTATAACTTTCGTTCAGCTTAATATTTTTTAATCGGATATGGCTATAAATTTAAGTTAGACTCAGACCAAAGAGACTGTAAAGTTTTGTTTTAATCGGTCAAGTAGTCTTTGTGTTTATCCCGGACAAAATATTGCGTACAGACATACATACATACATACATACATACATACATACACACAGACATACATACATAATTTTTTTTATTGTCATTTTTGGAATTCTTACTACTCGAATAGAAAAACTAAACATGAAATTTCAAATTCTATGCAATGTACAGACAAAAGTCTGATCTTATTTATAAAGAAGATTTCAATAGTTTAAAAAAATTTTAAATAAAAATTAAGATTTCAAATTGGTTCTAAGTCATTGTAACAATGTATTTAATTGAATAAATAAAACGTTTTAATAAAATTTTATCTAATAATTATTAAAAAATTAGAATATAGCTAATAACATAAAATTATGCGGGATTTTGCGGGATCCCACAGGATTGAGAGTTATCCCGCATTCTAGTCCCGCGGGATTGACGTTAGTGTGGGATTGAAAGCCCTAGCTACTATTTTAATTTTCCGCAGGTTTGTAAATTTCTGGTAATTACATGTTTTTAAATCTAAAAACTATTATAGCATTATGCATATGAGGCATTTTACGTGAAATGTCCTAAGTTGAAATTTCAACTTCTTGAAAAAAATTGAAACTCGAGGAATTTGTTGTTCTATCAAGTAGAAATGTGACCCAAAAAATATTTTTGATTTTTTCGAAAAATTGGAGGGGGTAGAGGGGGGTCAATTTGACCAATTTTGCCAACATCGGCTACTTTGTGAATTTTTTCTGAACATACTTGTAATGGGAAAAATTTTTTAGAATATGTTTCTAAAAGGTTTTTTCGTCCTCTTTCCAATGGTGTATTTTATTTTTTAATATTTTAAAAATTTACCCTAATTTTTGATAATTTATATTTAACTAGCGACACACACCTCGCTCGCTAACGCTCGCTCGGTTGTCATCTTACTTATTTCTCCTTACATATATATTTATTATTTTACATTATTATTATAATATTTGAAAATTTATTATTTATTGAATAGCATCTTCATTGTTAATATATACATATAAGTAGTATATGTACATATTAATATTAATTTTGTATGTAATTGCATATTATTAAATTAATAATTAAGTTCTTTTGATGAATTTTAATCAAATTTTTAAGAATAATTTCAATAATTACATTTTTCGAGGAAATTGATTAAAATTGAATTTAAAATAATTGAAATTCTGCAATGAGTTTTATTATTTATAAAAATAATTGAATTATTGTGAGAATTTTATAAAAAAGTTTTAAATAATTGATTTTTTAATAACAATTTAGATAAATTCTATTTTTAATATTTCAATTCTTATGAAAGTTTAATTCTTTTAGAAAATAATTGAATATTCTTATAGAATTTTGTCAAAATGTTTTTAAATAATTTAATTCTTTTTGGAAATTTTACTAAAATATAATAGAAATACAAATTATTCAATTAAGAAAAATTTGTGAAAATAATCGAATTCTTGTGAAGAATATTTTTTAAAAATAATATTTAAAAGAATGTAGTAAATTTAAAGAATTTTGCTATTTATGGAAATAATTAAATTCTTAAGAAGAGTTTTTTTACACTTTCTATAAATAATTAAATTCTTTCGACGAATTTTAATAAAATTAAATGTATATCTGATTTGATATAATTTTGAAAACTTAAGATATACATATTCGTAAACAATAGATATTTCTATTATAATCGAAAAAATAAAAATATTATATATGTATATGGGTGATTCTCCTGAAAGGGACCCTTTTTTGGTTGAATTTCCAAAAAATCAAATTATTCTTTTTTTGTTACTTTTCTTTCATAAATAAGTTTAGAAAATGTTTAAAGATAAAAATATAAGTTGCGCAAAATTAATTTTCAGAAATAAGACCTCCAGGAACATTTTACTATCATGTGTTCTAGAGGTTAAGTATAATTAATTATAACTTTTAAATTAATTATTTTGTAAAAAAAACTCGGTAGGAATATTTTTTTTAAATAATAAATTGTTATGTTTTAATTTATTGCACTTTTTGCTTGTATATTTTATTTTTATTAAATTAATAATTTAATTTGAGGGTTAAATATTTCAAAACAATGATTAAAAAATTAAAAACAAAAGAAAACGCCTATCAAATATAAAAAAGGCTTCGGAGATGAATTGATAATTTATTGAAAAAATTCTCATTTTTTCTAATTTTAAAAATATTACAATTTTTTAAACAATATTTTTAGTTTTAATCATCAAATATTTTCACATCGATTACATATTATGTTTAAAACGTTAAAAAATATGATGTTATTATATAGAAAATGAGGCTTCGGAGATGAATTTAATTTTTACTCTCATTGATAATACTATTTTAATTAATAATTTAAATAACTTTTTTTACCTTATTTTAAACAAATGTAAGTAAAAAATAATCCTTATATTCTGAACTTTAATTTGATATATATCATAAATATGTTGAAATTGTTTAAATACGTTAAAATATAATTATAAAATATACATTCTGTTTAACCAAAATTCGATGACAAAATTAAATATGTTTTTTAAATAGGAAGAAATTTAAATATAAGCAATAGAAGATTATATAAAGATAGATAAATCTTCGTAGATTATAAATAAATTTTTCAAAAAATTTAAAGTTGATAAAATATTAATGAAAAATTAATTTAAATAATGAACCTCATGTTGGAGACACGTGAAGTGGTCCCTTTCAGGAGAATCACCCATATATGTGTATATATGTGATTATATATGTGTGTGATTCTTCGTGTTTACGGTGGGTATCCATATAATATGTGTTTTGTTTTTATGTGTGAATATACAAGTGTATGGGATTTATTTATATGTGAGTATACATGTGTATCTGATTGTACATATCTAAAAATAATAGTAATTATTAACTTTGAATTATTATTATTATTAATATTAGAAAATATTATTTTTTGAGTGAAGAAAGGTTGCTGCATAATATTATTTTTTTTAAATAATTAAATTTTATAAAGAAATTTATTACAATTTTTTATAATAATTAAATGTCTGTGGAAAATTTTATTAAATATTTTTGAAAATAATTGAATTCTTGCAAACGATTTTATTAGAATTTTTTTAAATAATGAAATTGCGAAGAAAACTTTTATTACTTCTAAAAGTAATTGAATTTCAAATACTTTTTAAAATAAAAATAATAATATAAAATAAATTTCTTTTAACATAATTTCCATGTATAACATTTTATCAATTTTTTTAATTTTAAAAAGTTATCAATTAGATTCTACATTTTTTAATAAATTAAAAAATTTCAATTAAGCTTTTGTAAAAATTTAGATATATAAAATTTTTAATTTAAAGTATGGAAAGTTAAAAGTTTTAATGTTTTAAATTTTTACAAAATTAAATTATTTTTAAAAATTGTAATTATTAGTAACTTTTCAAAAATTCATTTATTATCAAAAATTTGAACTGAAATTAATCTTTAAATCAATTTTTAAAAGAAAATTTTACAAAAATTTAATTATTTAAATACAAATAAAGAAAATTTATTGCATATGTGCATAATTCTAATATTGTACAATGTTTGACGAATTATTTTTTTTATTTATATTACTTTTTAATATTGACGAATTATTTACGTAATAGTTTTTTTTTGTTGACCTGATCAAATATTAATGAATGCAGTAAATTATATGTTCCATTATATTTTGGTAATTTAAGTTAAGATTAATACTTTACTAACTATATTATTTAATTTTTGTATTAGTAGATATATTTTATTTTGAAAGAAAACAAATCATTTATAGTTCATTAGTCAGTAGCAATTTTGTAGCTGACATTGAATATGGGCAATTTCACGTCAGATTTCAGTTCATAATTTAAATTTGGCCAAAATAATCTTTTTTTTCATTCTTCAGTGAAAAAAATGGATATTTATTTATTTTTTTTGGTGGTTAAATTTCTGAGTTACGAATTTTTGAAAATTTGATTTTTGAAAAGTAGACATTTTTCAAATGGCTTACAACATAAAAATTATTGAATTTACAAAAATTTCGTTAAGACAAAAAAAGCTCAGTTTTTGTTCAACTTTAACCTTCGGAGAATACACCTCTTTTTTAAATCATTTTTGAATGCTCAACCAATTTTTAACTGTTCATCTGATTAACTTAAGAATTTTTAAAAAATATAGTTTAAACTCTGTAAAATAAGTCTATGTACTTTATAATCCTTATAAAAAATATTTAACAATAGATAACAATTAATAAATAATAATGAATAAATGATTAATTTTTTCATAAAATTTTTATTAGAACTATGTTTCTTAAAAAATCTCTTCCAAAGAAATTGCAAATAAAATTTTTTTAAATTAAAATATTGAAAAAAAATTTCAATACGCAATTAATTAAACTGAAAATTTATAACATTTTTCATTGTAATTAAATAAATAAGAAATTCTTTTGTAAATACACAATTAGTTTTTATTTGTTACAAAATAAATGTACTATAATATGTAATCATATTATTAAATGATTGTAAAATGAAATTTTTTGTATATTTCATTCACAAAAGAAATATAAATCAATAACTCACAATAATAAATCAATAACTCACAATAATAAATTTATAACAATTTTTCTGAATAAATACATAATTCATTAAGTACTTAAAAACTAATTTATAACACTCTTTAACAAAAATCAAATTTTTTTAATGTAAGACAAAATCAACCTTTTCCAAAACATGTAGTTTATGATAAGCTTACCACCAGCATGCCGCGTAATGTCATTACCATTGTAGCGCAATATTATCGTAAGCTTATTATGAGGTTAAAATATTCCACCTGTCGTAAGGTAAGCTTACTTTAATATTGCTTGATAACATAGAGCAAAATTAATAATAGTTTATGTAACCCTATATCCTATCCTTATGATAAATATGTTAACCTTATAGCAAGCTTATGGTAACCTTATATTGTAATCACTAACATTATGTAGAAAGCTTATTGTTAACTTCCATATGGTTAAATGATATTTGGGAATTAATAATATTCCTTTCCTTTAATTTGAATTCAAATTTATTTAATGTCGTCTTTGTTTTGTTCCGATAATCTGAAAATTTATAATAAAAATAATTTTTTTCTTATTAAAATAATTCATTCAATAATACATTTATAATAAATGTATTAATGAATTACAATAATAAATTGACGCAAATATAATAAATTAACTGACCTTTTACTTTCTTCGTTTTCCATATCATTTATTTTCAACATTGATGACTGCAAAACTGAGATATAATTTGTGTTTCTAAAGTTTCCTATTTTTCCTCGTTTTATTATTATAATATCTTTTAAATTCAGTTCGATGGTTTTAGATAAATTGTTCCACAGAGCTATTTCAATCTAAAAATTTATAATTTACATTAATGAAAGAAATTACCATTTAATGGTTGTATGACACAAAACAAACAAATACCATAACAGAGAAATACATACTGTATTACAATTAGCATCAGTAATAATTACTGGTCGCTTTGTTAGCTTGCTTCCATTCTTTACAGTGATGTCCTGTATGTCATCAACTTTGGTAACTATGCCGCAAATGTCTTAAAATTATAATACATTTTTTTACTTTACAAAATAACATTAATTATTTAACAAAAATATGTTTGTAAAACAATTTCAACAATAATTTTGTACATTGAATAATTAATGATTCGGATTTTAAAACGGCATTAGTTCTAAATTCTCACTTAATATTTTGTCATTGACTGTAAAATTATTAAATTTTTTTTCAAAAATTTTTAAATTGACCCGTAAAAAAGTCGATTTCTTTCTTTTTGCGTACTTTATATGTAATAAATTGAAATTTTTTTCAAGTATAAATATATTTTGTAAAATTTCAAAAGTTAACAAATAAAATCTTCCAAACTTTATTTTATTTTACTTTATTTACTTTTGTTTACTTTATTCTCATGTTTTAAAAAAATCCATGAAAAATAGATTAAAAAGAATCATTAAAGGTATTACTTCCCTTTAATAATTATATAATTTTTAAAAATGACAAAGAAGTTTTTAAATTGTTTTTTAAATGTTTCAAAGGTTTAGCCATCATATCCTACAAATTAAACCGGAAATGAGAGCATGTGCCACTTTAAGACCCGTAGCCTATATTCTTGTAAATTTTAAAACATCTTTTAAATATTATATTGCACAATTCATGCAATCAATTTTGATTATATGAGTAAATTCTTAATTGATTCTTAGAATAATATTGATTATGCGTTATATGAACGAATGTAGTGTTAAAAATGAATCATTTTTAAAAATAATTAAATTCTCACCAACAAATTCTCCAGGTTCCAACAATTTTGCTTCCTCAATAGACTTAAAATTATAGGCATTTTGTGGGAGCATAAAAAGTTGTTCATCAACATCACTTTCGACTATTGAATCGGAGTTTAATTGAATTTCAATTTTATTTTTAAAAACATTAAATTGTGAATGTGCAGTTGTAATGAGAAAATTCTGTATGATGTACTGCTTTCCAATCTATTTAATTTTAATGGTTGTAAATTTTTTCTTTTTTTGCTCCTTGCATTTCTTTCATCATGGGAATGTTGTCCATCCTGAATATGTTGTTGTGATGATGTCTGTGATTGATCATCATTTGTTTTTGTCGGTATCTCAATTATTTCGGAATTACCTATAATTTTTAGAAAAATAACAATAGAATCATAAGTAATATGTACCACATATATAGATATATCGATACAAGTTTAAAAATTTTATATATTTGAAAACTTAATTTTTATTTTCTAAACTAATTTTAGAAATTAATTTTATTGTTTTATTTATTGATCAGATAATAGAAGAAACCTTGCTATACTCATTTCTAAATATCGAATATAACGGGCAAAATTTTAAAGAAGTTAATAAATTTATACAGCACTAGATATTCAAGGGTTTTTATATTTACATAAAAATAAATAATTACATTTAAAAAATACTTACTCAATGTCAGAGATTCAAAATTTTTATTGAGAATTACAATATCTGCTTGCATCGAACTTATCACTATAACTTTTCTTATGATACTGATAATAACTTATAATGTAAATATTAGTATTTCTCCTGTCTAAAAGAAAAATAAAATGATATAATATTAAATTCATGGTTATGAATAATATTATGTAAAAATTTTTGTTTATTCCATCACTATTATCTAATAACAATAATATTTCATATTTCGAAAATGTTTCAAAAATTTGGCTAAAAATTCGCATTTTTATAAAAAAATTATTGTTTTAGCATAATTATGTTGCTGTAAAATAAAATCTTACTTTTTACTTTCAAAAATCTGTTAAAGCTCAAAAATTTGCATTTTTTATTAGAAATCATTTCCTTCTGAAAAATTATGTTGCTATGCAATAAAACAGTATTATTTATTTGAAAAAAACATAAATCTAATTCTTTGTATTAAGACGAATCAATTAAAGCTTACAAAGTATATATTGTATTGGAATTTATCAATTTAATTACAATTACAGTTAAAAATTCATTTTTTATTAAAAATTTTGTTGTTAATTTTGATTGATATTAATATATAATATAATTTTAGTCATTCCATTTAGAAGAATGAATTTAATTTTATTAATGTTAAATTATATAGAAATTTACATAAAAATTAAATATACTTGTAGTTAAGCAAATTTTTTGCTGATCGTAAAGAGGAAGCAAATTGTTCATGTAATGGAGATCTGGATTCACAACTTGTTGTATAAAGTCAGAGAAATGTAATACATAATTAAATTTTTGTGATTGTTGTTAATATTCTAAACGAGGTATATATATTAATTAATTAAAAAACTTAAAAATAATTCAACAATATGTATATATATATATATATATATTTTTTTTTAATTAATTAATATAATAATGTATAATTTTATTAATTCAATAAATATATGTATTATGAATTAAGAATTCAATTTTACCAACAAATTAGGGACATCTATTAGATACCATTGAACTGTTTTGTTTTAAAGTTAAGTTATCATTCATTTCTTCTCATATAATTACTTGACGAGTAAATTTTATCGATATAATTATCATATGAGCACCTAAATTTAAACACAAGTTGTCAAAACTTTGATAAATCAATATTTTCCTATTTCGAAGAATTTAACTTTATCAACTTATCAACAGCTAATGACATATATTAGATATCATTAAACTCCTGTTTTGTAGATAAATATTAAATGCGATATATTCAAATAAATAAATATTCATATTCAATTACACAAGTAATTTGTGAAATTATAATTATTAAAATTTTAATTAAATTATTATTTTCAAACTTCGCACTTGATAATTAATTTTAAATAAATATATATATATATATATATATATATATATATATATATATATATATATACTTAATTTTGGTATTAGTAAATGAATCATGATTCGAAGGAAAATAAATCTTGAATAGTTCACTAGTCATTAACATTTTGTAGTTGAAACTAAATACATATATATATATATATTTAATTTTGTTCTACTGAAAATAATATTTATAGTTTTAAAACTATTATTCTATAACTTATTTTTTCAATTATAAAAAATAAAGTGGAAGAGGTTAAAAAATATAACAATTATATTTTTAATTAAACCAATCTACACATTCACGTCAAAAAGTGAGTACAATTTAGTTTAATTATTTTGGGATAAAGTATAATAATACACTATTGCCCAGAATTTACTTGACACTCTTATTATAGTGTAAAAAGTGTTAAGCATAAAATATTTCACACATTCTCATAATACAGTGTTAATATTTATTTTAATCATTAAAATAAGTCGAAATTAATTAAAAAATTTATTAAACAAATTAATTTATTATTCATTCATTTGAAATCGCCAAGTTTATTTATATGTATTTTTTTTCTAATGGAATTTCGTTTGTCCACCTACTATAAAAATTATTATTATGAAAAAAATAAAAATTTGATTTTATAATCAAATAATTACCACAAACAATAATTTTTCACTTCCCTCACTTTTCAAATTTGCTCATAATTTAATATACAGGTATTCTAGACAAAAATGTGTCCATATAATCTTCTTTTGGAAAATTGAAAATCGTCATAAACGCAAAACATCTTCATGAGAAGGCAGAAAAATTGAAACAATTTTCAAAAATTTCAATTAAGCTTTTGAAAAAATTTAGAAATATAAAATTTTTAATTTAAAGTATGGAAAGTTAAAAGTTTTAATGTTTTAAATTTTTACAAAATTAAATTATTTTTAAAAATTGTAATTATTAGTAACTTTTCAAAAATTCAATTATTATCAAAAATTTGAACTGAAATTAATCTTTAAATCAATTTTTAAAAGAAAATTTTACAAGAATTTAATTATTTAAATACAAATATAGAAAATTTATTGCATATGTGCATAATTCTAATATTGTACAATGTTTGACGAATTATTTTTTTTATTTATATTGCTTTTTAATATTGAAGAATTATTTACGTTATAGTTTTTTTTTGTTGACCTGATCAAATATTAATGAATGCAGTAAATTATATGTTCCATTATATTTTGGTAATTTAAGTTAAGATTAATACTTTACTAACTATATTATTTAATTTTTATATTAGTAGATACATTTTATTTTGAAAGAAAACAAATCATTTATAGTTTATTAGTCAGTAGCAATTTTGTAGCTGACATTGGATATAGGCAATTTCACGTCAGATTTCAGTTCACAATTTAAATTTGATCAAAATAATCTTTTTTGTCATTCTTTAGTGAAAAAAATGGATATTTATTAATTTTTTGTTGGTGAACAAATTTCCGAGTTAAGAATTTTTGAAAATTTGATTTTTGAAAAGTAGACATTTTTCAAATGGCTTACAACATAAAAATTATTGAATTTACAAAAATTTCGTTAAGACAAAAAAAACTCAGTTTTTGTTCAACTTTAACCTTCGGAGAATACACCTCTTTTTTAAATCATTTTTGAATGAATCCAAAAATGATATAACTTCATAAAATTTTAATTATTATTTTTCAAAAACCTCATTTTTTAATATTTTTTAATTTAAAAACTTTATGGTATTTAATTAAAATTCCCCTTCTTACCCTATAATCATCATTAATATTATTAATTTTATTTTTATATTTTATAATTATTATATTATATAATATTATATAATTTAATTTTATAATTAATATTATAATATTAATAAACTTAAATTTTATGTTAACAAAAAATTAACGTATTAATTAATTAATTTATATTTATATTAATATAATTTAATTAAATTTTTGAATTAATTTTTTAATCAATTTCTAATAGCATTTTCGTTAATTTTATTATATTTTTTAAATTTAAATTAATATTTTGATTAAAGAAACTTAAACAGAATTAGTTTTGTTTGCTTGACTAAGCAGACATACACTACCGTCGGAAATTGTGGAAACGCTAACATCTCGAGCTACTAAAAGACACACCCGCCTAGAAAGAGTGATAACTCCGTTAAAAATAAAGTTAGATGATTTTTTTAAATTGTATTGGAAAGCTTATTAAATTTCCAATGAAATACCACTATTTTAAGTTGTATTGCATACATAGGAAGCGAGATATCATGTTACAAAGACAAAAAAATAATTCTATTTTTTTTTGAATATTTTAACCTGACTTTGACAACTGGCAAAATTTAGAAAAGTTGATGAAAAAAATTGTTAATTTCACAGACTATTCCTTGTAACCTAAGCTTTAAATAGAAACCAAGAACATAATAAAATATTAACGGGTTCCCGAGATATTATAAAAAGAGTCGGACCGTGCGAAGCAAAATTTTTAATCATCGATTTCTCTAATTCGCCGTTGAGTCAATTGCGTAGCTGTGAAAAAAGTGTCAAAAATTAATTTTACCAACTATATTCTCTATTTAAAGCTTAGGTTACAAGGAATAGTCTGTGAAATTAACAATTTTTTTCATCAACTTTTCTAAATTTTGCCAGTTGTCAAAGTCAGGTTAAAATATTAAAAAAAAAATAGAATTATTTTTTTGTCTTTGTAACATGATATCTCGCTTCCTATGTATGCAATACAACTTAAAATAGTGGTATTTCATTGGAAATTTAATAAGCTTTTCAATGCAATTTAAAAAAATCATCTAGCTTTATTTTTAACGGAGTTATCACTCTTTCTAGGCGGGTGTGTTTTTTAGTAGCTCGAGATGTTAGCGTTTCCACAATTTCCGACGGTAATGTACATAATTATTAGGGGAGGACGGGGCAAGGATAGTTAAGGGGCAAGAATAGTTAGTTGCTGTTATACTTAGACGGCTTGATCGAAAATCGCGTAATTCATGGTATATTCGCGTTTTAACACCAAAAGATGATTGTAAAAATTGCAAGTCAATCTGTCACCATTTGCGAAGTTGTTTTTTTACATTAAAATTTCAGAATATTTATTTACGTAAGTGTTTTTAGGAGTGAAATTTCCTGCTGAACACGAATATCGTATTTATTTTTAAATTAATTCAAGTCGTTCCTTAAAATTTAGAAAAAACTGAAATATGGGCTCACAAGGCAAGGATAGTTAGAGATAATAAGGCACGGTGAAATCGTTTTAATGCCATTGCAAATTTTAAAAAGTCATTAATTGTTTTTTTTAGGTTGATATACATAATGGTACATAATTATATACGGAAAACGAAGCTTATGAGCAAGAAATTGGTGGTCGTCTGAAAAAATTGGTTAAATCTCTGATTCTAGTTCAGATGAATTTTAATACAATAATTGCAATTCAGAAAATGTTCCATACATATTTTTAGTACTTGAGATATCAATATTGAATAGTCTAAATCCAGTAAAATAATGAAAACAAAAATTTACTGATTTTCTATAACATTTTTATCATTCGAATTCTTTTAACTATCCATGCCCCGGTACTGGGGCATGGATAGTTAAAAATTTTTGTTTACTTTTTCATTTATATCTCGTAGGTATTTGAGTCTACAGTAAAATATTGTACAGCAAAATTATAGCCAAATAACCAGGCTTTCCAAAAATACTTTTGATTTGTAGATACATATTCAAGTTTGGCCGCTAGATCCAAAA